AGGTTTTAGCCCAAAGGGCGTTAGCCCAGAAGGGCTATTAATTTCGTTTTGGTATTTTGGCGTTGGTTTACCATAAATGTCGGTTCACTTTTCAAATTGTTACCACCCAATATTAGAGCCTTGTGTTATATTTAAAGAAATTAAATAAGGAAGAATCTACATAAATGTATGTATGTTTCTCGCATTGTGATAAAACAACGGTACCTAGAACCATAAAATTTTGAATACCGTTTTCTGTTATTTGAGGTTGCGTATTATCTAGATTCTAGAATAATCAAAATTCTTTTCTGTAAGCCTGATATGATTTGATCATTTACATAGATATATGACGACTCTTACAGATACAAAAAAGTAAGATTAATACTTATCTTAATAATATTGAAACAGAACGAATCCGCATTGCCCATTAAACAGTGATCCATGTTTCGAAGTACCTCACTGCAAAAAGAATTAACTGTTCTTTTATTTTGCAGTCTTCTTCTTTGCGCAGTTTTCTTTCATGACATTCTTATTTGGCTACAAAATTAAAATATAATCCTCTTTCATTTACGTTGAAAGAACCTTCTAATTTTCAATCATCAAAGGAAGAGAAGGAGCTTTTCAGCAGCTTTCACCAGCTTGAATCTAGAATTTTCTATGCAACAGGCATTGATTAGTACATATTACTAAGTCTAAAATTTAAAGCCACTCATCTGTATATTACACAGCCTCTATACTTTAATATCCAATTTCTTCGCCTTTTAAAAATGTAGTAGTGGTATAATGTCTTTTCTCCCTTCTTTCTGCATGCCTTCGTAGTGTAACAATTAGCACACTCGGCGCGTATTGGAGAAGTCCAGGTTCGAATTCCGACAGGGACATTGCACATTTTTCACATCTCTTGCTTCCAAAAACTCCTAATGACTCTAAGTGGCACACAAACTAAAAGGTGGTGGGTGATGCTTCTTCACCATCAGGATTTGGCGATTGGGTCCCCTAATTCCCAGTCCCTTTAAAAGGGGGGAGCATATAAGGTATTTTCTCCTTCCTTTCACCTGCCTTCGTGGTGTAATGGTTAGCACACTCGACGCGTATTCGAGAGGTTCCAGACCATTGCTTATTTTTCACGTCTCCTGTACAAAAAAATCCTAATGACTCTATAGTGGTAGCTGTGAGTTTATAGTGTGAACGTCTATAGTGTAGTAAAGTGTTTTAGTAGTTTATAAACTTGTAACACATCTTCGAGCTCGTTATTAAAGAGATCGTTTTTGGTATTGAAATTGGAAAAAAAAAATTCCAAACTTTTCGACACTAGAAACATTTTTAGCTTAATCGTTCCGTACTTCGTTGTCGTTTTACTTTAACGGGACATTTATTATTCATGTTGTCAGGTAAGTATTGGCTTCGTTGTTGTTATTGCTGTTGTCTTGTCCATGAATTTCATGGAAGAATGGTTGCCGAGCTTCAAGGAGGAAACACCGGCTTTCCATGAAAGATACGGTCTTCAGTTAGATGTGTCTTCATTCGATATGAAGTAATTTATCTTATTTAATATGCGAAACAATCAGCGCTCGCAGGAGTAATGTATGGGATACATTTCCCCCAGTCGAATAAAAAGCAGTTTTTGTACTGATGGGGGCACGTATAGCACGTGTGCAAATGTGTACAGTACATGTGCATATTGCTGTAAAACTGTATTTTGTAATCTACTAAGCTTCCCTCCAAAATATGTATAGTTGTATAAAAGTTTCTTAACGTAATTATTTGTCTCCAATTTTCCTTCTTGTCCCGATAAATTATTTTCCGGATGCTTATGTCTCCAACCATTCACTGTTTAAGTGAAAGAACTGAAAGCAATGTATAATATACAAGCTTCTTAATAGTTTATATATTTTACTTACTTAATTTATACACTTGTCTGTAATTTATGTAATTCATTCCATGCCTAACGAAAAGTTTTTAATTGCCTCTGCATCATTTGTGCAGTTAACAAAAGATGTTTTTAACGTTATAAAGTGAACACTTCAGCACAACCTATTCGTCTGCACGCCACCTGACAGAGACGGAAATTAGCTGTAATTATGTTACACACACCGAGAAAAGCACGCAGTACCTCTCTTTTATCTAAGCTGAACATGTTCCTTTCAGAATGATTAATTTTTCCGGTTTCTCACAGTAGAATATTTGCTTATGCTTTATAAAATGATTTAAAGAATAAAGAATGGGAATGGTTGAGAAAGTCAATTATTAAATTAAATTTTTAAAGGTATATTTAATGCTTGTAAGGATTTGATTTCTTTTAAGAATATTCTTTTTGTCGCCACGTGTGTACGGAAGTTAAAATCTTGACTCCGGCAGTTTGAAAGAATTAAATAATTATGAAACAAAGAACTTTGAAAAATATATGCTATAGTATACCTTGCTACTGCATTCGCCGAAAATATTTCTATAGATCTTTGTGATTTTGGAACAATATGCGCCAAACTATTTTCTACAGAAAATAAACATAGTTGGACACTGTTATATTAAATGCATTGTATTTATATTTTATAAAAGTGTTTTTGCTTTTAAAATAAGTATTCTCAATAAAAACTTTTTAAAATATATAATTTTATTTCGTTGTGTTTTGTTTATAGAAATAACTAATCTAAGAGGTATATTTCTGATATTTAGAATAATTTTGCTGCAGTCAAAATAAGCTGAAGATCAAAATATATTTTTCTGTCAGGAAGCATGAAGCATATACAACATGTCTACAAAGTAATTACCCAGCTTTTATTTTAACAACCGTTGGTCGTAGACACATACTTTCGTTACAAAAGTGTTTTAAATGACACAAATAATCGTGTTTGGGTTTTTCAAATTAGAGAGAGAAAGAAAAAAAAAAAAAAAAAAAAACTGTTTTCTAAAATTACGAAATCTAACTTTTTATACGTTCTCCCATATTTTATTACTTGTATTTAGAGAGCTTTCACTCGCATTGTAGACGCATGCTTTTATTACAAAAATTGTTTTAAATGACACAAATAATCGTGTTTGGGTTTTTCAAATTAAAAAAAAGAACTGTTTTCTAAAATTACGAAATCTAACTTTTTATACGTTCTCCCACCATTTTATACTTGTATTTAGGGAGCTTTTACTCGCATTGTAGACTCATACTTTCATTACAAAAATTGTTTTAAATGACACAAATAACCGTGTTTGGGTTTTTTAAACTAAAAAAAAAAAAAAAAGACTGTTTTCTAAAATTACGAAATCTAACTTTTAATACGTTCTTCCACATTTTATACTTGTATTTAGGGAGCTTTTACTCGCATTCTAGACGCATACTTTCATTGCAAAAATGTTTTAAGTGATACAAAAAATCGTGTTTGGGTTTTTCAAATTAAAAAAAAAAAAAAAAAAAAAAAAAAAAAAAAAAAAAAACTGTTTTCGAAAATTACGAAATCTAACTTTTTATACGTTCTCTTGCATTTTATACTTGTGTTTAGGCAGCTTTTACTTGCATTGTAAAAAATACATTACAAAAGGTGTTATTTTTGTATGACAAAAACTGACCAAGATATCTAATTTTAAAGTTTGAAATAATACTCAGCTACGGTAAAAAATTGACGGCAGAAATATTTGCATTTGTATGCAACTAAATATCAGATCAGAAAAAAGTTTCTGCTATTAACAGATTAAGTCAAGCAGTTCTGTGCATGTTGTTATGAAAAGTATTGATCCTTAAATAGGATGTCTTAGTTAGAAAATCTTAAAGAGACTGTGTCTTAGAAAACACTGGCAAACTTCCGTATTGGCACATAACTATCTCATAAAAGTGCTCGTATAAAATTAAACAAAAACAAACAAACAAAAAAAAAAAAAAAATGAAAGGTACATTTTGTGTGTTACCTTTATTTATTATCATGTTCTTCGCACTTAAACCATAAAATTCAGTTCAAGAGCAATTACGCAAAATAATTTTAAATGGAATATGTCTTTAGACTTCCCGATACACAGTTCTCAAGCTCTGGAGATAAAACTGTTTTTTCTGCACAACGTTGCCATTGCTCGCTTTGAAATCCTTGAGTTTCTTAATCAAAAATTCGTAAGTTTTACAAAATATGAAATCATTAATAAACAAATTCAAAATTTCTAATTTGGTCTTCCACATGCCCATATTCGCGGTAGGATTATGTCATTCAAAATTTGATGGCTGTAGGTACCGTTGTTTTATCACAATGCGAGAAACATACACACATTTATGCAGATTCTTCATTATATAATTTCTTCAAATATAATACAGGGCGATAATATTTGGTGGCAACAGTTTGAAAAGTGAAACGGATATTCAGAGTGACTCGAAGGAAAACGAAAACAATAGTCCCTTAAGGACAAAGCCCCTTTGGACTAAAAAAATTGCATGTGAATATTGTTTACGTTATTTTCAATGCTTAAAATTTATAAATTTCTTATATGAAAATGATTTTGGTATACTGAATGTAATAAAATTATTGATTAAAGAATATACACATTAGTAAGTCGGAAAGAACTTTAACTGAATGACGTTAAATGAAAATAAACTGCAGTTTATTTTAAATTGTTTCTCGCCCGGCTCCTCAAGCGAGATAATAAACTCGATTTTATGACTTTGTAAAATCCACAAAAATCGCAAGCTTTAAAAATTAAATATCTGGGCCATTTTTTGTCGTGGAAAGTGAAACGATCTGTGTTTAATTTATATTCCGTATTTATCCAAAAAATTCCTTTTATAAATTTATAAATGCCAAAACTCGAATATATGTGTCGTTTAAAATACTTTTGTTTTGGAAGTTTTTGTTTACAATCAACTGTTGTAAAAATAGAGGCCGGGTAAAGACGGACATTGTGTATGTGTATCTCTGTAAAGATAATCTTTTAGCGAGTGTTGTCCTATGAAGAAAAGATGTGTTTCTTCTTACAAAATTGGTTAAGAAGTATTTATCCATTTATCAGTAGCGGATAATTTGTATTTGTACTAATAAAAATGTTTTCTGCAGATTACAGAAAGAAGCTTTCGTCATCGTCAGCTCCTTATGATCACAAGAAGTAGTTTGGTTTTCCCAAAACAATGGAAAAGAAGTGAATTGAACGACCTCATAGAACGACCGCAGTTGGAGAATGAATATTCCGATATCGACAGGTAAATGATTACCAATTTTCTACGAAAACATTTTTTGACGTATTATCAGTTAACTTGATATAAGACTTTAGGAACTGATACAGTGTAAACAGAAGCGTTACTTTTGTTGAAATACTACATTCATTTTGAGGTGAAATGACTAAAAAGAAAATAAGACTTTGTTTTTTTAAGAATATTTCAATCAGCAATTCTTCTTCTAAATTATTTGTTATTTTCTCAAAATACATACCACATTTGTCTAAAATTAAGTTGCATTCATTGTGAGGTAAAATGACTAAAAAGAAAGTATTACTTTGCTTTTTGAAAAATATTTCATTCAGCAATTCTTCTTCTGAACTATATGTTATTTTCTCAAAATACATATCACATTTGTCTAAAATTATGTAAATTTAAATTTTTCACATTTTAAAGATGATACGCCTTACCCTTGTTATGTTATTTTATATTAGCATATATCCATTGTAATTTACAAAAGAGTCTTCAGATAATCCATTGTATATTCTCCCCATTCACATATAATGCCATATAATGCAAAGTACTAACTATAATGCGAAGGACCACATACAGCGCAAAGTTCTAATTATACTAAAGAGGATTTGTGTTGATTATGGCCAAACAGACTAGGGCTATCTGCGTAAGGGGATGGATGCCTGCGTGGAGGACTTTCTAAGGAAAGTTGGCTCGTATAGGCATTACACATGGGGAAAACCAAGAAAATGCCCATGCAGCTAGTCCGTTCACCTGGAGTCGACCCCAGGTCTGAATTGCCAGTGTTCAACGATTTTACCGCTCGGCCACTGGTAGATCTATACTAATGAGGAGAGAAGTATAGGTACTTCTTAGTTTTCGGAATAAATCATAATTTTAGAAGGAGCTTACCGGAGCTCTAAATGTTCCGGCACTTCTTCTATGTAACTGAACAACAATTTCAGTAGAAACGTTCCGGCACTTCTTCTATGTAACTGAACAACAATTTCAGTAGAAATCTGATCTCGAAAATTATATTTTTAGCAATAAAATTAGATTAAAAATCGCTTATTAAATTTTAATTTATCTCTGTACGTTTTATGTAATTTTAATCATTTAATTACCTTAATCTTTAATTATTTAATTATTGTATTGAATAATAATTAATTAATTGAAGAATAATTATTAATGAAATAACAATAAAAATACCGATTATTAATTTATAATTATTAATTAATCTGGTGATAATTAATTATTTAATTTTTGAATTATTAATGATTTCAATGCCCGTTTTATTAATTTATTTATTTACTCTTGCTCCTCTTTCCTGATGCTCTTGCCTAGGGCTCTGGCACTTCTAATTTTAGAAATTAAGCTCTGCTTATTAATCCTAAACAATAGTATTTCTAATACATAGTTAACTGTTTCGAAGAACCCTTGTTAAAGGAGCTAAGACTCCTTAATGTTTGAATATGTTGTTGGATAATGAATTGGAATGCACATTTTCGTTCTCGCATGTTGAATCTTATTTGTATAAATAAATTATGTGCGAAATAAAAAGCTTTTAATATAACATTAAAAACATTTAAATTAAAAACATGCTAAAATTAAAAGGATTCTGTATCAATTTCGTATGGCATTGTAAACATCTTTTATTGATTACAATAAAGTTGAAAATGCTTCTGAAATTATTGAGGTGTATTAGAAGTTAAATGTATTTTAATTTATATCAGTTAGAGAAGAATAAAACATAGATGTAAATTATTAAGAAATGCTTTTACCGCTTTTAAATTGCGGTGAAAGCAATAATAATAATGAATAAAAAATTAATTAAATTTGAAAAATAATTTAAAGATTTCCTGCTTTGCCAAATAGTAGTACTATGTGAACTTGCCATATCTGATTATTTGATGATAATTAATTAAATGTCTTACTTTTGTCACAGTGGAACACTTGCCAAGGGCTGCTTAGAAAAATTGTTAAGATTTTCTAATCTGTTAACTTCTGTCGCACAGTCCCTCTTCGCATTTTATTTTGCTAGGAGTGGATTTTACTTTTAAATGAAATAAATACTCTTCCTTCGAAATTTAAAAATAAAATTTGTAAAATTTGTTCGAAAAGGGGTTCCGAGAGTCTGAGAATAATGGAAATCGCCAAATGATAATAATAGTAATAATAATAGTATAATAATAATAATAATAATAATAATAATAATAATAATAATAATAATAATAATATAATAATCATAATAATAATATAATAATAATAATAATAATAATAATAATAATAATAATAATAATACTACTAATATATAACAATTTGTAATTTATTAAAGCAATGATGATAATAATAATAATAATAATAAAATGTTTCAAACGGACTAATTGCGTTAATCATGAGGGACTCGAAAAACTTGCAGATGCTCCTCTTGTCCCGCCAAAAGTGGAAATTATCTACCTTCATATACATATATAGTCTTTTTATTCTCGTTATTAGCCCAGCGAGAATTTTATCGTTGAAAGAAAAACGAGAAAAATCAGGAAGCAGTCGCAGGTTATTAAATTTTGAAAACTTGCAAAACTTTCGTGGTCGCATTTACATTAACATTCGGGGAGAGGACTGCATACTAGGAAAGATGTAATATCGCAAAATAACCTCAAAATTATGCTATATATTTTTTTTTAATTTGGAATTTAGGTACTTACGTATTATCCCGTCGACCCTAAAATTATCGCAAAGAAGTACGGTATAGCGCCAGTTGCGGTTAAACATAAAGTAAGGACACAGTCGTAACATCTGCGCTTTGCACACTACGGCTGTTTCCCTAAAGGGAAGGGTATCTTTGTGGAGGACTTTCTAAGGGAAACTGGCTCATATACACATTACACATGGGGAGAACCGCGAAACACCCCTGCAGCCAGCCCGTTCACCCGGAATCGAACCCAGATCGGAACTACCAGTGTTCAGCGATTTTATCGCTCGGCATTTTGGAAGGAAAAGAAACCAAAAAGAGAATGATTAAAAATTGGGACTTAGCTTCTACAGAGTAGAGAGAGAGTGGATTGTTTCCAAAGTAATAGGATTCTTCTATAAAAAATATGTGAATTGATCGACACGATATGGTCACCTGCGTATGACTGATAAAACAATATTAGATTGGAAAAGTTACCTGCATAAAGTTTCTACTCACAGCATTCTAAACAGAGCTTCCTGTAAATTGGAAGGGCCTAACAAAATAATAGAAATCGACGAAAGCCTTTTTACGAAGCGTCGTAGAATAATGTTTATTTGTTAAATACACAGCTGTCAGTTTCTTCTGAATTTCACAGGAACGATTGGCACAGCTTTGGTGGGATCTTCACCAACTTTCATGCTTCGATGGTAGCCAACTTTCGTGGTCGACGGGATAATACGCGAGTTCAGAAGTTTACCATTTATAAACCGAAGTTTAATATTTATAAACCGAAGTTTAACATTTATAAACCAAGTTTCAAGTTCAGGAATGTACTCAACACTGTTATATTAAGTTGGGATTGCCATTTAATTAGGTGCTGTTTTTATACATTACGCTGTGCTTATATAGATTTTGTTCGGCATCGAAATTGTCTGCCGGCATTAACAATAATCGAGGGGGTGGGAGGCCGACTATAAGTTAACTTCGTTAAACGGCTTTTTGCTGAATCCGGAAATCTATCAAAAGTTACGGTCATTTAAAGTCCAGTCGTTTAGTTTGGATGTTGCATTAGAGTTACTTAGTAGAGTTTTTTGCTGAAGTTCTAACAGGAAATACGAGGGCCATCCAGGAAGTAGATTACGTTTCCGTCTGTGTCCGCTAGGGGCGGGGCTAGCGCGGCCATCTTGGGGTCAGAGCGTTGCGCAGCTCAGTCTGCATCTAGCCGTGCTAGTGAGAGGTTCGTGCTGTGCTCCGTTCAGATACTGTGACGGTTTGAAATGTCTGCGTTAATTGAAAATCCCGCGAGCTGCGAGGTGCGCTCAGTAATAAGGTTTCTGACTGCAAAAAACTGTAAACCGATAGAAATCTATCGGCAGCTTCGTGAAGTGTATGGGGACAACATTATCACTGAAGGTGGAGTGCGTCAGTGGGTCATAAGATTTCAAAATGGCCGAACCAATGTTCACGACGAAGATCGAAGTGGGAGACCCAGCATAGTGACCGCCGAACTTCTCGAAAAAGTCGATGCTAAAGTCCGTGAAAATCGAAATTTCACAATAACGGAACTTTCTTTCTTTGAGTTTTCCACAAATTTCGCGAAGTTTGTTGCACGAAATCATCAGCGAAAAGCTTGGTTACCACAAGTTTTGTGCAAGATGGATTCCAAAAATCTTGACAGAGGACCACAAAAATCAGCGAATGGCTGCAGCGTTGAACTTTTTGGACGCTTACCATAAGGATGGTGACTCTTTACTCGATCGCATCGTTACTGGTGACGAAACATGGGTGAAACATGTGAACTGTGAAACGAAATTGCAATCAATGCAGTGGGGGCACACAAGTTCTCTCCCCAAAAACCCAAGAAATGCATGCAAACAATGTCGGCAAGGAAGATGATGGCGACTGTTTTTTGGGACAGAAAAGGTGTAATTTTGGTGGACTTCCTGGAAAGAGGCACTACAATAAACTCTCAAAGGTATTGCCAAACTCTCCAAAAACTCAGAAGAGCAATTCAAAACAAGCGCAGAGGAATGTTGAGCTCTAAGATCTTGTTGATTCACGACAACGCCCGGCCCCACACGGCAAATGTCACTCGTAAAGTTCTTGAATCTTTTAAGTGGGAGTTGTTTCCTCATCCGCCGTACAGTCCCGACCTGGCACCGAGCGACTTCCACCTATTCCCAGCAATGAAGAAGTGGCTGGCTATGCAGCGTTTTGATGACGACGCACAGCTGCAAGAAGAGGTAACGAAGTGGTTGAAGGCGCAGGCGGCCGAATTTTTCGACGAAGGAATTTCCAAGCTCGTACATCGCTACGATAAATGCCTTAATTTGTATGGTGACTATGTAGAAAAGTAGTA